GTCACATGCATGTCATGTTGACGGACACTCTGCGACCAATTGAAGTGAATTTCTTAGGTCAAGGTCACCTTGGGGAGGTGAATGCATAACAGATAAGTACCACCAAGTGCAGTTTGCACAGTGGTTAGTGCGCAGGTGCTTTTTATCTTTGATTGTTCATTTGTATGTCGAGTATGAGTTTGTGCGGCAGAAGACGATAATCATTGTATTAAGACGATAATCATTTATTTGACGATAATTAATATTGTATTAAGACGATAATCATTGTATTAGTCGTTAGCCCTGTATCCCGCCCTCCCAGTGCGATAGCTGCCGGAAGTGGAACTATCTGTGATGTATTCCAATGGCCACGTGAGCTGTACTTACGTTTCTGTGACATGACATGTGATACAGTTGGCCCAGACCCAAACACCGAGCTTCAAATCTGAGGCAGAAAAAGCACCCTACCAGAGCTGCAATTTATTTTGATGTATGGAGATTATACTGGCGAAAACATTTCGTCACATTCCCGGCATGGCCCGTTTGAGGTCATTATCGTGACTTAGAACACTACCTTACAACATGGAACGCTAGTCCCGGATACATCGGATGGCTTATGCAATGACTCAGAACACTACCTTATAACATGGAACGCTAGTCCCGGATACATCGGATGGCTTATGCAATGACTCAGAACACTACCTTACAACATGGAACGCTAGTCCCGGATACATCGGATGGCTTATGCAATGCGCAATACGTTGGCTTTTACGTTGGTTACGTTGGTTATGCTCTATCTGTCTTAGTTAAAGCGTTGGAAGAGGCACATGCCAAGTCTCTCCCGCCCTGCTTGTCGGCGAGGGTTTGATATGGTGTAGTCATCTCCAGTGAAGTCTTTGGAATTCGGTGATTTATTTTGAGCTTCCCCCGTTCTTGTCACCTCATCATTCTGCTCCGATGGTGTTGGTTGCGGCATGCGCGGGTGTTTTCACCAGCCCGGTCTTCATTTCATCCGGGAGTGTTCGCTGCGCTGCGCTACTGATCGCCGACCGCTGATTGGTCATCGCCGCGATCGGACGTGCGGCGCCGGCTGCTGACCGGCTGTCTGAGCTCGCTCCATGCTCGTCGCAACGCTTCCGTATGAGCTTGATTCAGGCATCATTTGTGAACGCCACATTGTGGCAGGCAGACTTGGATGAAACGGACGGCCGGCGTTGTCCAGATTTATGGGCGTTTTGGCTTTGGTATTCTCATAGATTAATTCGTCCGAGTATTTGGCGTCTAGTATTGTATATCATACCCCAATTCCAGTTGTTGATTTGCATCAACAAGGCAGGCGTTGTGTATAATTCAGATGCTGGCAAGCAGCTGGGCCTGCTCTGGCTGGTGGGCGTGCCGCGTATCATGGCGGCATCTGCCGTCACCGCACGTGATCATACGGGGGCGTGCGTGTCGGTGTGAACTCCAGCTGTCCCTAAGTTCGCATTTCGCAAGCCAGTGGCACTAGTGCAATGCCCGTGCCGGTTGCTTTGGCTTGGGCGTGGCGATCTGCGCTCAGCAGTGTATTGCTCACATGCTGCTGTCCCTCACGCCGCTCAACACAAGATGATGCTCTCGCTTTTGGCGACCACCATGACACGAATAACCGAAGAACACGCAGGTTTGTAGCCGCCATGGAAGTGCGTCAATTTATACTGGTGAACAGTGACACATATGCAGCGATTACAGGCGTACTTACAGGACTGAACACGGCACGAGCATCTCGCGTCAGCCAGGGGTTTCAACTTAGCTTCTAATGTGGCATTGACACCAGTAGAATGTTTGGACAGACTCCGACCACTTAGTCGCACTGGACCCCGTTTCCCCAGACGTTTCCCCGACCTCCCGAAACCAAACTCCCCAACAGTCAAAGAACCTGAGGACAATTACTTTGTCCTTAGGGCGGGGGGATGGGGAGGGGCAGGGTCATGGGGCCCATCTTAAGAAAAAAATTTTGAGTGCGGAATTTTGGTCAGGCGAGTTCCTTGTTACATTAAGCTGCATCTGCATATTTCGCCGACAATGCTGTCATGCCAGTAGTAACACACGGGTTCCATATCTGTTTTTTACTATTAGAGCCGTGTGATCTTTGTTGGAATCAAATCAAGATCCTAGACTACAACATGATGTCGGCTCCAATATGCAGAGCACAGCATTTCTGTACTGTCAAATGATATAGCATCCACGAAAATGTGTGCCTGTCTGTATAGCTGTATGTCTATTTGTTGTCTTTCACTTGTTGACCCGTGTGGAGGTCAAACACAGTTCAGTAAGAGCTTGCGATTTTCATAGCACACATGTACGAGGGTGTGAAAGCACATGCGTGGTGACGACCAGCACGGGTATTGATCAGTACCGTTCACGGGTGGAAAGGTCCGTTTTTAGGCGCATATGGTGACCATGAAACGTACACGTGGTGAAGCAATTTGAGCGATAGTAAAGCCATGGAAAAGATATTTACTTTGCTGCGAGAGCTTCAATGCATCTTAACGCCCCTATTTGCAGGAGGCCTTCTTGAATAGCGCCAGTGCACGAAATGTAGGGCTGGAGAGCCAGGACGATTATCGGGATTAGATGTGTAGGTCACGTATTCAGAGATTCTTTACGCTGTCGGAGATGCAGCCCTGGGTATTCAACAAACTGATAGCTAACTGGAACTATGCGGCATCAGAGTACTGCGGCGGTGGTAGCAGTCAGAAGTCCAATGACAAAGGTAGAGGCAACATCGCTGTCTTGGAATTTACGGAGTACAAAATAGTGCCCCTGGTAACAACCACGAGCTGAATACAGGCAGTTGCTTAAACTTTACACAAGTTCATTTGCACGCTGCATTATAAAAGGTCGGGCTCGCCCCCGGGGTCTCTTTTAAATGATAGTCACCGAGGATGTGGGCCTGCTAAATTCGGAGCAGAATAAAAGCAAATTCTGCGAACTTCGTTGATATTCTTGTCGTGCCGTCAGTCGCCCACAGTTTTCAATTTTCAGGTTGTATACGTTCAGTTGGGAACAAGTGATCGCCGTTAGAAATTTCTGGCTACGGAGTGAGATCCGCTATGATATAAAGGTGCGTAAAATTCCTGCACTAGAGTCGTGTCCTAAAGAGGCTGTCGTACAATTTACTATCTCCGAAAATGTGCGCTTGTCTGTATGTCTAAAGACGGCATGCATGTCTGCATGTCGTCGTTTGCTTGATGACCTGCGTACAGGTTAAATAGAAGGCAGCAAAAACCGGATTTCACATCGCGCATGTGCGAGAGCAAGGAGTGCACATGCGTGCTGGCAACCCGGTCCTACTCAGTCAGCGCCAGCATCATGCATCATAAATTATGAGCGTATTGCGCTGATGGTAAGGTCCGTTCTTGTGCTGTAGGCCTACGATTAGTCGCACGAATGCGTGGTGAAACAGCTTCAAAGGTAAGCAAGCTGTCGAAAAGATATTCCTTCTTTTTGCCGCATGAGTAATGACGAACGTGGGATCCCACTTTGTAGGAGGACGACGATTTATTTAAGTAGAGCAAGTGCACGAGATGAAGGACCGCAGAACGAGAACGATCGTGGAGATAAGTTGTGCAGGCAACTTGTTCACCGATGCTTGACGCTAGGCGGAGATGTAGCCGTGAGCATTCAACAGTGTGAATTTCCGATCAGACTGAAGCTAGGCGAAATCAGAACATTACGGCAGTGATGAGGTAGGAACTCAACGACGGTGGTAGACACGACATGATTTGCCTGTTATTTTCTGCTTCCAAAAGAGGGCGCGGTGATAACTGCCCGAAAGCCGGGCAGGGATGGTCGTTTGAATATTGCACAGGCTCATCTGCATACCATATAAGAAAGGTTGGGCTTGTGCAGAGCTGTGTTATTAGGAGGCCAGTTAACCGTCCATTCCAATATTACCAGTCCGCGTGGCATGGTCTGAAATTGCTCCAAAGATGTTCGGTGGCCACTCAGCACGCGCACGCCGCGAGCGCTCAGTCCGCGCGTTTGTTTATGCAGTGGCGGAAGAGGCACGTCTTCAGTCCCATAGTCTTTAGACCACGATACGCTGCGCTCTAAAACGGATGGTTCGCCAGCGCATCACACGACAGCCAAAGGGAGCAAGCACGGGCAGCAAAAGCGAAGGAGCCGGACGCATGTGAAGCTACCACCATTGTCTTCCCCGCCTCGCCTTCCCCCGCCTCAAAAACACCGCAGTAGCAGGTGTTAAGTGAATGTCGTAAGAGTGGCCAGCTACACCTCAAATTCACAAAATCTTGCGTGAGCATTCTGACGTTACATGGAGCGAACCGAGATAAAACGGTAGCAATCGCCTTATTCCTCGGAGAGAGGTCAGGAGAATGGAGATATGGATGCGCTGATATTTCGGTAAAGGCATGTTGCCGAAATATCAACGCATCTCCATTGTCCTGGTTTTTCTCCGAGGAATAACGCTGTTATATCTGTTATAAATAAGGCTGTCTGATCCCTTCGGTCTGACCTGGCTGACGTCTCAAAAGACTGGTCGCTCATTTTTATTTTCTCTTCCTTGTTTGGAACAGCTGCCTCGCCATAAAATGCTTGACCCCATACATAATGCATACAGCTACCATGTCTGCCTGCGCCATTTCAAAGGTCTTGTCGGACGGGTGCTGCCGGGAAATGGAAAAATGGAAACCAAGGTTTTCATTTGGAAGGGTACTTGACGGTTTGCTGGGTGTTCACGGTTAACAGGGGGGATCCCCCCCCCCGGCTTAACACATGTAAAATAGACCCTGCCGCCCTCAGCTGAATATGGAATTACACCCCTGCCGTAAGAATGGAAAGAACGCCGTTTGCGTTTCGACAGCGTTGTGGTTGGATGCTATTTGCGAATACATGGCCAGCAGCGCCCAGGCGCCCGGCGTGACGTCAAAATTGGTCAGCTGAATGACCATTCCGGATAGCGTACTACTGTGGCGCAGCCCTGCGTTGATTTCCGTGATATTTCAATAACTGCAAATTTTTTATGATGCTAGTAATGTGTAGCGGCGAAGTGGAGGTGTGGTGACAAGTTAGCGGCGTTGTGCATTTGCCATTGGCATTTAGAAGGACTGCAGTTCGCAGTGGGTGCACAGGTATGCTATTTTGTGTACATCTCATGTTTTCTGTGGGCGGAGTGACACTGTGCATCGTGGGCGGTAGTCCAGGCTTGTCATGAGTAGGCAATGGGGGATTTTTGGGCGAATGAAAGCCCATATGAAATAAGCTCATGTGGTCCGATTCAAATTGGCCTTAAGTAATCAGGTTTTGCGGGTGTAACTTAGCTGAGTAAAAATCATGAGGGCCACATGGTTAATCAGTGAGACCATCAAGCATAATGCTCTGCATCTGATGGCATGATATGAAAATATTGTACATCATAGCCTAGATATATGGCATCATCTTTCTGTACACATCTTTACACACCACACATCTTTCTGTAAGTTTATGCATGGTGGAACATGCTTTCAAAAACAAGATTGCTTTTCCATTATGATTTCTGAAATCAACTAGTCATTGGAACACATCATGCATTGATGGCTCTAGACTGTATTTTAAAAGCTTTTGCTGTGTCTTTTGAATTTATTTTAAATAAAACAAAGGAAGTAGATAGTGTAAGTAAACCAGTTATCATTTTGTTCTGGAAAGATGAGGTCAAACAAGGCACTCCAAATCTGGAAAGAAACCAGTAATTATTGTGGAATCAAGGCTTTGGCCAAGGTGTGGTCATTGCAGCTAGGGGGCATTTTTGTGTTTCTGACATGGGGTCTCATGTTGACAACCTTTGCCACCAGGTAAATGCATCCAAACCCCATGATGCATAGCAAATGGTAGTGTTGGCAGTCTCCAGCCAGGCAATGTTGACTGGCAGACATGCAGGCCTCCAGCTGAGCCTTATTTTATGCTGACTGGCTCAGCAATCAATTCAGCAGCCAAGCTTCTTGGAGGCAAACAGCACACAATTCAGCTCAGCATCACTGCCTGGTAAGCTTGCAGTTTCCAGCGGAGCAGTCCTGATGAATGATGTCTACTATCAGCTGAGCAATTCCACTACCAGCATAAAAGTGACCCATTACCAACATATGCTAAAAGCTGGCAGTGCTAACCAGCTTTGAGCTCCTGATTTGTGAAATGAAATTAGTAGCATTATGTGCTGACCAGTGCTGCCCACTGTCTCTTCAAGCAAGGAACACCATCATATTTGTTTCAGGTTGGGGCCTTAAACCTTCATCATGTTTTCTGCCTTGAGAAAGTTTGCCAGCAAAAATGAGCCAACTCCAGCACCTGTGTCGAGCAATGTGCAAGCCATGTCCTCACAGCTGCAGAGGAAATTTGCCAAGGGCATTCAATATAACAGTGAGTATTCTTGCTGTTGTGTTTGCATGTCACCACAGTGACTTCAGCAGCATGCTCAGCTCACACCCCTGTCCATGGCGAGTGGCGTGGTATGATGGTCTCCAGCGACCTGAGACGAGGTGCACTCGGGCCACAGCAAAGCTGCTCTGGGGCTGTTGCTGGGTCTAAAAGATTGGCATGCTGCTGGGAGACTTGCGACCTCTGGGCAGGTGTGCCAGCCATTTCCTGTTACCATGTAGCCATGGGGAGGTTCGTGGATGTAATGTAGTTATAAAATATATCAGATGTATTTAATTTCCAAAGACCAGGATTGTTGAACAGAAAGGGGTTTGGATAGATGAACTGGGAACACAAATGTAATAATTGTTCAGACTATCATTCTCACCTAATGTGTTGCTATGTGCACAACCTTTCAAAAAAAACTGAAATGTTGTGTACATAGTAACACACCAGATAAGGATGACTATCAAAACAATTATTTTATCTGTGATGTTGCTACCTTGTCACATTTTTTTTCATAATTCTCAGTTGGGAATACTTGTAGCTTTTTGGTATTTCCTCATGTAGCTGCCATATGCTAGGGTTTGGCTGCCATGAAGTTTTGTCTGACATTATGCTTCAATCAACAGTGAAAATTGTGATAAAAGGCGACAACAACGTGGGCAAAACTTGTCTCTTCAACCGTCTCCAGGGAAAGACTTTCAGTGAAACATATCAGTCAACTCCAGAAATCCAGGCAAGTTATTTTCCTCGTCATAAAATGAATCAAATGGACAACGAACAAGTGGCGTGCAATTCTAAATACATGTGTGTGCGTGTGCATGTGTGTGTGTGTGCTAATAGGCATGACATTGCATGTATGTCCCTTATGCCTTACCCAGTTGAAACAGCAGGGCTTTTGGTCTTGAGTTTAAGGCCAACTTTAAAGGACACGTTTCTGGTTGGCGCAATAAACGCAACTCACTTCACCATTTCACGGTTAAAATTGTTTTGAGGAAGCAATGTTCTATGACATTTTCCGTTGTCAGGTGACATCAAATTAGGATTCCGAAATATCAGCTCCTTATCTTACAGCTATTACAAGCACAAAACAACATCAAATTTCAGACCGAAGTCGGCATAGGTGATGAAGTTGAAGCGCTCGCTGAGTTTGGTTGTGTGTATCTACGTTCCAAAATATCGATAGGTTGGTCTGAATCGTGGTCGCAAATAGTATGTGGGCTAGGCTCCATCCTTTGTTAATGAGACATGATGCAAGTTTGAACTCGAACCGCCCAATTGCATTCAGCGTTTAGCTAGTATCGGCAATGTGAGTCATATATAAACGATTAACAACCATCGTTGGTACGTCAAGTTATGTTACATTATCAGCTGTGTATATTACTTAGGATCGGACACAGCTTAATAGCACTGCAGTTGCCAGCATAGTCCTTGCGGTATCGGAGCCAAATCACGTTGGGGTCGAAAGGCGAAGCAAACCATGAGACATAGAAAAGCGCGATTTGGATCAAAGTCTACCAGGGAACAGAGTGGGAAGTGGGCGCAGTGTCTTTAAAGATGAATCCGTGACATTCTGGCCAGTCCTGGGGTCACGATCAAACGGCGCTCGGCATGACCGACGGCAGGAGAGCGAGGCGTTAGGCGTTGTGACCGGTGGACCATCAGGTTTGGTGGACCGCACGCTCTGGTGCGTCGCTGGGTAACAATGCGACCGCGAAGTCGTGGCCGACGGGAGCGTACTTGACCGCCGTTGAGAATGGGACATGGAGCCTGCGTCAGCCGTTTGGTGTTCGGTGCCTGCATTCCAAGCACCGGCGGGGCGAGCAGTGCTTCCATTTGCCGTGAACGTGACAGAATTCGAAGGTATCTCTGTATCCGTGTGGGCACTACGCGTTTGAAATTATTTGCTTGGTTCGAATCGGTTACCATGTATAACGCTTTATAAATGGTATGTCACGCATGAGCGATTTTCACGCAAGCATTATGGTGCCTTGCTGGGTACCGAATCTGAAGTACATGGAAAATAGGATAAGGGAGTGCGAAACACCTATGTGTCGTCAACGTTATAGCAATGACCAATGATTATTACTTCGGGCAGGCTGTTTTATCATCATCACGTATATGGAAGGCTTTTCAAAAGTTTTTTCAGTTTTGTATGGAATCAAATCGGCGACTTAAGCGAGCTATATCAACGGAGCACGTTCAACTAAGCTCTTGGGGACACAGCGGCGAGAAGTGATAACTTGAGTCCCGGAAAGGAAATCCAAAGCATATTTGAGATGAGCGACGTGCCTGCCTCTGAGATATCGTGCATAAGACGGCGTCAAAACTGATTGCTAGCGGGGTCGTTTACGCGGTTGGCAAGCTGGAGAGTAGAGACTAAACAGCAAGTATACAAGGCAGATACATAGGTGAAAGCTTGCAAACTATGATGTGTCAGGCTATTGCAACGCCGATAATTGGGATAAGTTCGTATTGCGTCAAATAAAACGTTTATAGCAAAGTAGAGCACGATTATTTGCATGTACTTTTAAGATGGCTGAATTTCGGTAAATAATAATTTTTAGGTTAAGCTACTGCATAGAGTCGGAGGTAGCAGTCGCTAATAACTTAAAGTCGCAGTCGACTTTCGTCGTTTCGTCCCTCGTCGTTTCTCGGCTGACGTATGTGATGGCATGCAGCCAAGTTGATAGGATTGATTTAGACATGATCCAAACCCGCACGATGGAATTCGCGTGGCGAGGACGTCCACCTAAGGTTAGCAGAGCAACGCCTTGCCAAAACATACAGGAAAGGGGCTGAAATGCGTGACTGGGTAAAATAAAATAAAAAGGCCAAGAAAGTCTCAATCGTCAAAATACTGGCGGCCACAATCTACCCATTACAATGGGCGCGATGTGACTGCACAGTCGAGGCGCCAGTTGTATCAACAATTGATACAATTTTCCCATTACAGCGAGAAGATATGCTGAAATGTAACTACAGTGCGTTTAGAGAAAACGCACCATAATGCCTAAATCTCGTGCCATGCATGAAGTGGTGCCATGTCATACGGAGGCAGTGGAAGGTTATGTTGCGAGATGGAGATGCACCATTGACGTCTGATTGAAGGGACGTCTAAAAGGACGTCTTTTTGCGTGAAATTTTAAGTAAATTAAAAAAAACATTAAGGCAGCTCGAGTTTAAGCCCCTATAATGCTAGAATTACAGGAGAATATGCATACTGCACAAAAAACGGTGGGTGGCATGCAACGTCCATTTTGACGATACATGGACAGAATTTCAAAAGTCAACTGGGTTACGTTGCTACTCAAATAGTTCATTGCCCTTCAAAGGTTCAGGGAAGGTGAGATTACATGTGAGCCATGTTGTATCTACCTAAACAGAACATTGCAAATCGGAAAGCAAGTTGCCCTTCTCAACAGAAAATGGGCGCTGCATGACCTACAGCAGTCGATGCGCCCTAAAACCCCAAGTCATCATCATCATCATTTCTCAACAGTAAGATGTAAGCACTGAAACAAGGATGGAGTCCATTCATTTCAGATGACATGTGGCTAGAATTTTGATGCGGTAAATATAGAATGGCATTGCTTAGGTTTCGGAGCCATGGATGGCATTGTGAAATGTCACCGACTGTATTGCACAAGCAGGGGCGTTGTAAAACATCCCTTACGAAGTACAACTACAGCGACACGAACTGAAATATGCTCATTGAGCGATGTGTACGCAGCGCCATCCGCTCTATGTAACGGCACCATTTAGAGCTCCATGGGCGTGGATGAACAGTGTGCATGGGTGCGTATATGTGGGTGTGGGAGCTGTCTGGCAATAAACACATCATTTAAAAATCGTATACCTATTCGTGATTTGACATTTTCGGTACTGTATGATTAGGTCCCATGAGACCAGAAAGTCAGACGTAAAATACATCGTGCATTACGATTATCAGCAGTATAACCTGGGAGCGTGTTTTCGGACATAAAGACGAAAACATGCTCCCAGGGTAACGTGTACCGGCTGTGTTGATGTCTGTCGACAAGCGACGGTGTTCGCCCCTGTTTATCCCCTTTGCGCCCGTTTTAGAATTAGGCTGCTGTAGAATGTATTGGGGTCAAATCATCCATCGCTCGAAAAACCCAAGCGTGAAAAGGATGGCTGTTTGAATGGGCTGCCATAAGTCGTCCGCCACTAGTACAGGAAACACGGTGTGATTAAGTAACGGGATCACATTAAACATGGGCGTAAAGTGCGTACATTACGTCTTCGGCCATTAACGATGCATGGATTCTTGGCGCAAAGCACGCCTTGCCTTTTTTATGGTAGAATGCCTTCTTCACGAAAGAATGCCTTCCCTATGCCAAAAGGCTTTCTTCACGGTGTAGCTGTGGAGGAGACTACTCGCCACTCGTGGCGGTTTACTCGTTTGGACTCACTCGACATTGCCTAACCAGGAGTCAGTAGTGGTTCCGCCGGATGGAACGTTTGCAATCTCATACACACCGCCGTACACTTCCAGGTGCCAATCACAAAGCCGTGAGACACTTCATATGCATCGCATACTTTTGCAGATAAATCCGTGCATTGTTTGGTTATGATGAATGTAATGCAGGCTTGATATGAATATGGTTGTGGTGACCAGCGGTCCCTTTTCGCCGCGAATGGGCCATAATTAAATGTGCGAGGCACGAGTGCTACACCTCAGTCGGTAGCAGAGCACTCGAAATGCCAAACGGATGTGTCCGCTGGGGGATGCTGAGGCGCGTGCAGTCCATGCAACCCGGCTGCGTGCTGGCTGGAGCGGTTGGCACACCCATAGGCCCTCTGATCTGATACCCTCGCTCAATGGTGAAGCCTCAGCGCCACATCACACGTGCTGCGCCGATGGCTGCACCCTGCTCTCCCGCCCAGCGGGAGTGCCCACACTTCCCCGGCACTTGCAGCGTGTTACGGCACTTCGCGAGGCAGTGTCGTGGTCTGGGATAGCGCGGCTGTCCCGGCCACGCCTTTCACCGTACTTCTGCCCAATCCTAGGTCTCGGCATCGCCCTTCACTGCACCTCTGCCCAGTCCTAGGTCTCGGCATCGTCCTCAGCGCCTCTGCCTAATCCCAAGTCTCGACATCGTCCTGCACTGCACCTCTGCCTAATCTCAGGTCTCGGCATCGTCCTTCACTGCACCTCTGCCCAATCCCCGGTCTCGGCATCGTCCTTCACTGCACCTCTGCCCAATCTCCGGTCTCGGCATCGCCTTGCGCTGCACCTCTACCTAATCCCAGGACTCGGAAATCGGCTCTTTAGGCTGGCAGAGCTAACGAATGGAGCTAACATGATGGAAGACGCATCGGCCTTTGCCGCCAGATATAATTATCTTTGACGTTTTTATGTATGGTGGAGATTAGCGTGATATTATAAAGCCATGTTCTCACTTTGAATGCTCTGATCTGGCTGATTTCTGTCGGGACCGAGCTTCCCTGTATTTTGTAACGTGTCGAATTACCCAAGTCAGGTGCTATCTTGCTTGAACTCCTCGTATGATATGGCGGTGACAGCGAAGTGGTATTCAGTTCAGTTATCATCATTCAGTTCATATCATCAGTTCTATTCAGTTTTACGCAATGCCCGGGGCTTGTAACTTCAGGCATCTTCCGCAGTCAATTTTGGGTGGGTTGTTACTCACACCACTCATGTTGACTTCACATTCACATCGCACATCAGCTTTACATAATGCGCATCAACTATAGTCGCTGCCTGCAAGCCGCTGCGGAGGCCTGCTGGAGCCTCCGCGAGAATAGGGTGAGTTGGGCTTCGCATAGGTGGTGCTTCGACTCTCCCGCATAAAGCACGCTGCATAATTAGTTCACTGTGGAGGTTACCGTATTCGCCAAAGACGCAATTTTCTGCCAGCGGCCGCACTTCTCACGGTAATCACGTTAAAGCCACGCGCGCTTTCATAAAGTAATTAACGGACTTTTGGTAGCGCCTGGAAGATGTAAAATGATTTGAAGGTTTTAGGAGAATGATTTAAGATCTGAGCGCCAAAAACAATTTAGCGCTTAAAGGGATTGTTCAACATTTGGAGCCATTGAAGCAAGCGTCTGGTATGATGAAATAACCTCACTTCTAATCATTGGTGCTCTAGATGGAAAAGACTGTCTCGACAACGCAATGTCCATTACGTAAACATGTTTCTCAAGACGTCATTGTTTTATTGCGCGATGGTACTTTGCACATCATTGATTGAGGACTGATTGACACCCGTTACGTCTGGAAGTCGCGCTCACGAACGCCTCACGACCGACCCAACAAATATATGTTTTTCTTAACCTTGATTTCTGTATGCAATGAAATGGCACGATTCGAATGGCGTTTTTATCGCGTCATGAATGCCGGGGGACTTTCGAATGGTCTGCACAAAAAATCTGTACATTTTGGTGGGCTTGTAGCTCAAAAACTAGAGGGGTTCAGGCCTTAAGAAGAGCAGGGCCGTGAACTACACCGAATGATCTCCAAGGTGGTTACTTCAGTTCAAAGCCCCGTTCAAATGTGGAACATTTGCTTTAAGCTTGGTCTGGCCAGTGGCGGGTCCGGAGGAGGGCATGGAGCCGCCCTCCCTTGTGCCCTGAAATACCCTATATGCGCCGAAGGGTCCCACGATCGTCCGAACGGGCGTAGTTTTTCCCCACAAAATACAGCAAAATTGGACATCTTTGAACCTTCGAACGACTGAGAACAGTCGCAAGTGAAAGTGAATGTCAAATTATTTTTCGTTGGTTGGGATGGTGGAGATTGGGGAGGTTTAAGTGCTCATTACGGTGTCCAGAGGCCCTACGCTAATGCCGGAGCCCTATATGTCCACTTGCCGGGGCAATCCGATCGCTAAGAAGCCTTCCACGTTGCCCTTGATTTATTTGTATTTGCTCTATGGGCCCACTGCTGTTGTCGGGACCTGGCATGCCAACCTGCCAACGCACTCTTGATCGCTTCGAGGCCCTCCATATTGGTCGTAGGCTCTTCCGATGAAGTCTAGAGACCTTGCTTTGTTGCCGAGAGTTTCACATGTGCTTGTGAGCGCCAGCTCTCCCGTCACTCATGGCGGTGCGCCTGCCCGTGTTTACGGGCCTGGCTAAGTCAGTTCACGTACACAAGGGCGAAATCCACGCGGTGACGATTTTCCCTGGCGTCTTAGCTGCAGAGCGATGGTGGGATATATTCCAATGAATTTCTACGTGCAATTGACTAAGACGATATTGCGCTCTGCGGACGTCGTGTGTGCCATTTCCGTTCCTCGTGGAATGAGTGACACTTATACTTGTGCATCGCGTTCTTAACTTATTTTGAATGCTAGGATATTTTGTTCTTCATTACGATCAAAACAAAAACTCTACATTAGTCACTAGCCATCCGCTGGTCACGTCGACCAACGGGCTAGCCGTTATGAAGCTTGGAATCAAGTGTCGTGCTTGATTTGACGGGATTTTGCAGCCAACTTGAGCTTTTTTGTCATATATTCTCCGAAATACCTAGCCTCAAAATTACATTCACCATTATTTTAATTACATTAAACGTTCCATGTATGTACATATGTACCACGTATAGTGTTCTAGGCCTCCGCACCGTAAAATAGCTTCCTGCTTAAGAAATAGCCTGCCTATGAATCTTAAAGTTATGTAGCGGAAATCCCGTATTTTGGGAACGGAGCCGCGAGGTGTCCAAGAAAGCAAACATGTACGTCTATTCCTCTCTGTGCCTGCCTCTCCTGCCCTGGTGAGCGACGGGCGACGCCATGTAGACAGCTGATAAATGCGTCATAAAGCCCTAATTGCAACAACAAGATCCAGACCCGATGCTTCAGGTTTGTTTTCATGCTAAAGGACCATGTGAAATGGCATGACACTCTGCAGCTTCCTCCCAAATAAACTAAAAAGTGAAACAGTTTTGTCATCGATGCCCACGACGCCAGGCGAGGTAACTTACTTTCACGCAGGTTCTGCATTGATGCACTTGGCCTTGGTACTTACCTGGCTAGTTATTCGGTGGCTCTCAATGTGGAGACGCTGCGCGTGTGGCCGGACTGAGAGCTTTCACAATGTATGTACAGAGCTGGGCTCAAGGTGCATCGCTGTGGTACGGTACACTGACGCACAAGCACGCGCTTTGGTTGGACACACTTGCAGGGTGCGGGCGTTTGCTACAAATCCCTGCACGTGTACAAGCGGTTACATTCCGTATCGAATTTATCGCCTCTGGACTAGTCCAGCGTATTGCAGATCCATGTGATGTTTCCTTTTATTCCGCTGCATCTGTATTCGTGGCGTAAAATTCTGGGCCCTTGGAGCCACGAAGTAGGTGCGAACTTATATGCATGTTTGCAGTGGGGCCGTATATTGGAGTGTTACGTACGTTAGCGTGATGATATTTACTGTTTGATTGATGCAGTTCGAATCTTTTTGATTGAATGGGTTTCTGGAACCAGAGCTCACACAAAGCGGTGCTTGTGTAACCTCTGACCACACCATCCGCTCGTAAAATTTGAGTTCATCGGCAGAATTTTGTGGCAAAAGCCTGACGAGTCGCAATGAGATTGGTCCATCTCAGCGTCTGACCTTATCTGACCTTGAGCGCCGCTGCCGCTGACTATCCCACTGAGGGGCGTAGAGCAAGCGTGTGTGTCGGCTCGAGCTTCCACCCGTCACCGTGGTGGGTTGGGAGGCAGTCGCTCCAACGCAGTGGGCTAAATTGGCGGTAGGACACCGTTCTTGCCACGGAATGGCTCATGGCTCTCCCGAAGGAACTCTAAAAATCCGGCTTGACTCTGAGGACCTCATTAGTGACATTAGCTTCGGAAATTTATCACCGCATGAAATGGTTTAGAACGTTTCATTCAAGGAACTTCTTTAATTGCATAGGCGTCTCCGAACAGTCCCGACCCCGGCGACTCCGGACAGTCCTGTACCTCGTATGTATTGACAGATGGCTATTATCAGTGCAGGGGTCGTGCGCGAGTATACGGCACGGCAGTATGTGCCGTTAAACGACGATTTTACAACCGTCGATGTTTACATTACCTTTAATTATTCAGGTCTCCGTGGTAATGTTGCACGTTTTCAACGAGCCATTTGCAATGGTCAACATTGGTAAAATGGATTTGTCGCGCGTCTACCCATTGCCTGCAATGGTTTTCTTCAGCGTTCTCATTCAACGGACTTTGTCCGCCCAACAAAGTCATTCGGGTCAGATTTGTTCCGGTTCGCTCGTACTTGTGAAGTGTTCTGTTCATGATCGTTGTGTCTGAGTGTGTAAGTCATGTGTGTAACTGTGTGCAGTGTGTGTGTGTGATGAGGGTTTTAATGTGTGTGGGTGTCATGCATGTATTAGTTTTGAAATTGGACTGCGTGCGCAGTTGGACTTCTGCCTGTGAATTATTTACGCTGTGAATATCCAATTGATAAACCTGATCATAAACCTGTCAATATTCACAGCTGACATAATGTGTCACGGCACCCGTGCATTCTGCCAACGTGCGTGGAGTGGCCGTGCGGCAGCTGGCGAGGCTTCCCCTGACCAGTCCCTGTCGGCAGGTGGCGAGCATACAGTGGTCGTACAAGGCCACCGATGACGTGGTCAAGGTCGAGATCTGGGACGTCGTCGATAAGGCGAAGAAGAAGAAGAAAATGGAAGGTAAGTCGCATCTGTTGTGAGGGAGGCGACCCAGGCCATGTAGCGAAGTGGACTGCCACCGCGCAGGGCGGCCATCTGAGCGCCGGGGGGCTATCGCGCCCGGACCATCCACGTCAGTCGGTGGGCCTGACCCACCGGGCCAGACCATCGCGGCCCTTGCTGGGGAGATGTGCGAGCCTGGTGGTGTGTTGGCCGCCTGCCTGCGGGCACGGGAGGGGTGGCCGTGTGACCTCAAGGCTCGTGTCTGTCGCCTTTCGGTTGGACTAGATAGTGGCTAGGTGACGGACCGGAGTGTAGGACAGTACTTTAACAGGCATTATTTCAGGATGAACCATGTTCTTAGCGACGTTTTTGATGTTCCCGACAACCCTGGGTCTTGCCTGCCGGGACTTACCGCTCCGGTCATGTTTCTGACTAGTTCAGTCTACCAGCATGCGGTTTGGGGTGTTCGAATCATGTTGGCTTTTATGACGTGGGACATTTCCAGGCATGCCCAACCTTGCCTGTCATGTAGTGCCCTTCCACATCCCACTCTGCCGTGTCATTCCGTCCCTGCCTGCCTTTACGTTCACCTATCATAGGACGTGGGACAGCTGATAATGTGTGAGCTAAATCCTGCCCAATGATGTCGTCTCTCCGGCGCCTGCTCTTTCCCGCCGTGCCTCACCTGCCGTCCTGCCATATCCCACCCTGCCGTATTGTTCCTTACCATGGCTTGACGCACCACTCTGTGCCCCCCCCCCTCCCCCCGCTCTACGTCCGTGCCGTACCGGCCCTGTCGCTCCGACTCTGCCGCTAACGTTGGCTGGCGGACATTGGAGTCGACGTGTGGTTCTTTTCCACATCATGCCTTGGAGCCAATGTAGAACATCGCGGAGGCGGGGTGTGCCCCCCCCCCCCCCTCCCCCCCTCCCTCTGACTTGTCGCCGGTGCCGTCAGGCCTGAAGCTGGACAACAGCAGCGCGGCCGTGCCGGACGAGGTAGCATTGGACGCCGAGTTCCTGGACGTCTACAAGGGCACCCACGGCGTCGTCATGGTGCTCGACATCACCAAGGCCTGGTGAGTGGTGCTGAGGTGGCCGGCAGCCGGCGGTCAGTCTATTTTACGGCTTCGGCAAATCACAAGACTTGCAATGCAGAACTCGGGCGATTTGGCAATAAGTTGGATCAAACCATTTCAAACTTGTATTACACTTATAAGGTGGTCCCGTAAGTGTAACGCATAAGAACAAGCACGTAGGTCAGTTGTAGTGCATCTCAATCAGCGCAAAGTAGGCACACACGTCCGTCCTCTTCTTACATCCGCACGAATTACAGCAAACTCGCATCAAACCCCGGCTGGTGGTCGTGCGCCGGCCGTGGCCGCCTCCACTGGCCGCGGCGGTGGCGACGTTCGCCGTTGTCCATCTTCGTGCGATACACGGCGGTCCGGAACGCCACTTCAGGCAGACCCGCTGTTACACTGACGGGCCGCGACACTGCCCCAGGCAGACCCGCTGTTACACTGACGGTCCGCGACACTGCCCCAGGCAGACCCACTGTTACCCTGGCGGTCCGGGAGGAGCGGGGCACTCGCCCCTTTTGCTGCGATTGGTACCGATCCAGCAACCGTGCTGCATGCACGGCTTCTTTATGTTGTATTTTGAACGTAGATGTGTAAACGCCACTTATCAGTGCGGCAGCCGCGCCCATAACACGTCCATCCGCGCCACAGCCCGTCCACGCCACTGCCTGCCCACGTCACGACCCGTCCACGTCACGGCTCGTCCATCCACGTCACGGCACGACCCGTCCACGTCACGGTCCGTCCACGCCACGGCACGTCCACGTCCGACCGTGCTGTGCAGTCTCGCGTCAGCGAGCAAGCTGCGCACTTGATGAATGCACCGAGCTTAACACTGGACGTGGGATGTGCGCAGTCAGGAGGGCGTCAGACCGTGGCTCGGAGACTCGAGCTAAAATCCTCTACAGGACAGAATATTTACCTGGTCTCTTGAAAAATTAAAAGCGAAGTTTTTTATTCGATTATTTTTAAGATCCTAGCTTACATTAGACGGCACTTGATGCGTGAGCCCCGACCCGTTATTTCAGCGTAATATGCCGGGTCCACGGCAGAACTTTGTTGCGAAAGTTTAGCTTGCCAAAATCCCGGCACTTTCCGACCTACCCTCTGACGTCATCCGGCCTTCAGCTCGGACGCTACCACCAGCCGCAGGTCACCTCAGTCAAGGGTTGAGTAGCGAACGCGTGAAGTGACTCGAGCCATGCTGTCGTGGGTGGGCGAATCCAAACAGGCGTTCTAACCAGCTGGGCTGCGGGACGGACAGACCGACTGGCAGCACGGGCCGGTGTGGTGCAGCCGTCATGACAGGTGGCAATGCTTATGAATATGCGCCTTGTATTTGTCGATCAGCAGTCAGTTATCAATGAATGTGAAGAAATACTGGAGTTAAGAAAGAATTGCCCATCCGCTTAAAGCCATCGACGATCCACCTTGGTCTACTGACCACACCGAATTCCAGCCCGGGAATGCTCACCAAGGATGGCGGCTGGTGACTGTCCCTGCTTCCTTTGTTCCCTGCGTGGCGTTTCACCGCTTCCCTCACGCATGTGGCATCTGCGGCCATGGACTTCGCCACACGTGGATGGCCTCAGGCCGGCCATAGCTGCCTGCAGCGGGAGTCAAGCGGCGGGCCTGTCGGTGTGCGGCACGCGCTCCAACCACTGTGTCACCTGGCGCTGGCGACAGGACGTTCGAGTACGTGCAGCGCGAGGTGCCGCGCATCCCGGGCCATATCCCGGTGCTGGTGCTGGGCAACCACCGCGACATGGGCCACCACCGCCAGGTGCGCGAGGACGACGTGCGCTTCTTCGCCGAGAACGTCCAGAGGTCGGTGTGAGGTGGGGGGGGGGGGGGGGGGGGGGGGGGGGCGGCCGTTGGCAGGGTGGCGGCGTGGAGGAGGTGGCGTGCTTCTCCGGACACGTCCAGTGGTGCGCGTGGTGGGGTTAGGAGAGGGGGGGGGGCGGAGCTGGGCCCCGGCGGGGTTAGTTTTCCGGGCGGGAGGAGCGAGTGTGCTGCGGCGGGGCCAGCGTTTAGAGGAGCCCGGTAAGTTCTGAGGGTTAGCACTTGGGGCTTGGGGACCGTTCGGGAGGTACGGATGTCAGGAGAAAGAGTACCGAGTGTCCGGAAGAGTTTGAGCACTTGGAAGAGATCAAGGGGGGTGTCCGGCAAGGAGGACGAGGGCTCCGACGAGGGATGAGGCATGAGGGGTGAGGATTGCCGGCCATGGCCGTACCTCGTAGCTGACCCACGGAGTGGACGAGACCCTGTCACATGTGTTTCGAGGGTTGTGTTCAGGTCAGACACCACCATCATAGGCTGTGGTGGCCAACAGGGCTGTCCATGTTGAGTCTGGTACATCCTTCCCGCATGCATTCTATGGCTGGGTCAGCCGGCTGGGATCCTCAGTTGCGCAGATCTCATCAGCATTATCTTATACTCAACGCTCTGACATTTCTGACAGTGCACTGTCATGCAATAACTCACTGCAGTCCCCTATTATCATAACCACGTCACCATAATAACACGCCGGTCATTAAGACAGCAGCGGCAGGACGTAATAGCATCACCACATCAGCAGCTCACTGTCGTCACGATGGCGTGCCTCTTCAGGCCTGACGGCGACGCGCTGGTGCGATACGCCGAGTCGTCCATGCGGAACGGCTTCGGCCTGAAGCTACTGCATCGTTTCCTGAACGTGCCGTTCCTGACGCTGCAGCGCGCCTGCCTGGTCACCCAGCTGGCCACCAACGAACGGGAGACGGAGGCCACGCACCAGGAGCTCGACCTCTACGAGGAGTCGGACGAGGCCAACTACGACGTGTGGGTGGCGTCAGGGAAGCGAGCCGAGCTGGCTGCCGGTCTGGCGTGTGGGTGGCGTCGGGGGAGCGGGCCCAGCTGGCTGCCGGTCTGGCGTGTGGGTGGCGTCGGGGGAGCGGGCCCAGCTGGCTGCCGGTCTGGCGTGTGGGTGGGCGTCGGGGGGGCGGGCCCAGCTGGCTGCCGGTCGGGCTTGTGGGTGGCGTCGGGGGAGCGGGCCCAGCTGGCTGCCGGTCTGGCGTGTGGGTGGCGTCGGGGGAGCGGGCCCAGCTGGCTGCCGGTCTGGCGTGTGGGTGGCGTCGGGGGAGCGGGCCCAGCTGGCTGCCGATCTGACGTGTGGGTGGCGTCGGGGGGGGGGGGGGGGGGCGGGCCCAGCTGGCTGCCGGTCTGGCGTGTGGGTGGCGTCGGGGGGAGCGGGCCCCAGCTGGCCTTGGCCGGTCTGGCGTGTGGGTGGCGTCGGGGGAGCGGGCCCAGCTGGCTGCCGGTCTGGCGTGTGGGTGGCGTCGGGGGAGCGGGCCCAGCTGGCTGCCGGTCTGCCGGTCCCGGGGAGGGACGGGGATGTATGTTGGAATTTGCATGGTCGCTTCGGTTGTTAGTGGAACGGTAGGCATCAGACGACCAGAGAAGTGACAGAAAACGGTAGTGATCAAATACTGATGCTAAATAGTTCTGTTTGCATTGCGCGCCAACTGCGTCGGTTATTCCACCGCAGGTATTCGTCAGCACAACCGCAAAACGTCTGACTCCTCACTTAGCGTCTCACTCCTCACTGCCAGATGGTGGTGCGACAGGAAGTGGTCTGACCTTGCTTGGCGGGCGCCTTATCTCTTATGTTAGCAGACTGCACCCGCGTTTTTTTTCTGGAAATGCCGGAGAGCTTTGTAGTGACCCGAGACCCGCCATCGACCAGGGCCGCACTGTCGTGCGCCACGCGACACCGCCAACACGGTGCTGCCTGCCACAGGTTCATCGACCAGCTGGCCAACAAGCGGCGCCAGACGGCAGACGCCAACGCGCCGGCGCAGAAGATGCCGCACTCACAGACGACAGTGGCACTAAACTCGGCCGGAACTCGCCAGGCCGGTGAGTGGCGCCGACGCCGGCTGGCCGGGCGGTCTGCGGCGCTGATGCTGGCTGGCCGCTGGGCTGCGGCCTCATGCCGCACGTGCTCGCAACACTTGATGTCCCATTTTCTGCAGCGTTGGGCGCAGGTCAAGGATGGGGGTGCGACACTTGTATGCGACCAAAAGCTCGGCCCTGAGTGCCGCCGGACGGTGTCACGATGATGGGCGCTGTTATGTCCTGGCATGGTGTAGGTAGCGGGTACCATGAAAAAGCAGTGGATTGCAAGACTTGAAACCGCGCCGTGTGTTCGGTAGTCTCATCTGCTGGCCTCCAGCTTTGCCGGCCGTCGCCCTCGTGCACCTCAGGCGAACGTGTTACGTGAGCTATGTGGCGCCGCAGCTCAGCGGAGCGCTGTTTCCCCGTTGCTTAAGATAGCCGCGTGACTCCGCTCTTCCGAGACCCCGTGTACCGTTATCACACGCGCTCCGGCCGGCGCTGACGACGGTTGCCGTGCCGAAGGCGGCGCCGGCCTGCCGCGGAGCGTCTCCCAGCCGGGCCAGCTGTCGGCGTCGTCGGCCGGACCGGGGCCGCCGTCGGAGGCCGCCACTGCCGCCGCCGCCGCCACCGCCGCCACCGCCCGCTCGGCGCCTTCCCCAGCCGGGTCGGCGGCCAGCGGCGACCGCTCGCCGGGGCCCATCAACGGAGCCGCAGGTCAGATGGGGAGGGGCAGGTCAGGTCAGACGGGTGCTTATCAGGTCAGGCGAGCGCCAGTCAGGTCAGACGGTCGCTGCTTAGGTCAGACGGATGCTGGCTAAGACAGACGGGCGCTGGTCAAGTCAGACGGGCGCCGGTTAAGCCGGACATTAGGAGGGAGGGGGCGGGGGCAGGTCGGGCACGTGTGGACCAAGTCAGACGCGGCGACCCGTGCGACGAGCTGTCGCCGCCCTGTCTGCCGGTCTGCTGTGTCAGCTGAACTGGCGGCCGGTGTGCCGAGCGTGCGGACCTGGCTGACGTCAAAACAGGTCTACAGCGGCTACCAGGCACGACTGGGGCCCGGCGTCAGGCAGATCAATCATCATTTGATCGGATGGCGCTGATGACTCTCCGCGCCGGGCTCCTATGTGAAGTTCTGTCTTTTCAGGATCGAATCAGGTATTGATCCCTAACTGCCTAATGCATGCAATGATTAATTCCTGCGCAACCTTGCGTCGCGAGAAGAAACTCCTGAACGTCACTTGTGCGGCAAAATAGGACATGATTCGCCCCCCCCCCCCCTCCCCACGTAACCGTCCCCGCCAAAGTTCGGAACCTTCCGACGACGGCGGGCTGCCGTTGGCCCGGTGTGGAGGCCGCGCTGGCCGGCCGCGTGACCCGCCGCTCCCCCCGCAGTGCCACCACCGGCGGCGGCGGCCAGCCCCGAGCGGCACAACGTGGACGCGTTCGTGCCGGACGGCGCGCTTGATGCCAACTTCCTGGACGAGGTGACGCCCCAGGCGACGCCCTCCAAGACGGCGGCCGCGGCGCCGCCCGGCTCCGACAGGTTGGTCGCAGCGCGTTCCCGGCGGAGAGCGCCGCTGCTGCCGCTGGCGGACGCCACGCCTGGCCTCGGGCGGTCGGCGCTCCCACCGCGGGAGAGAGCGGTGTGGCTCGACCTGTCAGCATCGCTGCGTGATCCGGTGTTCACTGAAAGGAACTCGTTTTGGACGCCTTGCATGCTGGCTTTCGGCAGCGTCCTCGGCTCGTGTTGAGTTGTGGCCATGCTGCGAGTGTTACTTTTTGCCTGTCGCCGCCCCAGTTTTGTTGTGACGCTCGTTTAAAGCGCGTCATACGTGACGTTTGACGCGTGCAGCTAGCTTCGCAGGCTCGTGCGCTGCGCGATTTCGGTCGAGCCGGCATTACCAGGCCCGTTGTCTAGCTCCTTTATACAGCCTCCTGTACGTCGAGTAGTTAGACGTTTTGGCTCTGTCAGCGGCCGAACCTTAAGTGTTTTTTTTTCAGTTTGTTTTGGTGCCGAGAGTCCCGCTTGTTTGCGCCCATGATAAGCCAGGTGCCTGGCCTGTACCGGGGCCTTCAGCTGCGGCCAGGTGTTCAGTGCCTGAGCTCTGACATAGCTGTCGTTCACGAACGTAAACCGGTTTGTTACACGCCCGGCCGAGTTTGCGGTTGTTAGCTGCCGCGTATGGTTGTTGAATGTCTCGTTAGCGTGTGGTGTGGTCGTGTTCCAGTGAGGACGACACGGCGGCCGGCAATCCGATGGTGGCCGGGTTCCAGGACGACATTGATGACCTGGAGCTGGTGTCGGGGGCGCCGCGGCACGACCGCCACGCGCTGCCCGACTCCAGCGACGAGGAACCGGCGCCGCCGCCGCCGGACCAGCGCCGTGGACTTGCCCGACGCGGGGGCGGCCGGCCGGCGGCGGCGCGACGTGCGACTCGTGGCGCCGCCCCCCGCGCCCGACGAGTCCATCGCGGCGGCGGTGGAGAGCGAGCCGGAGGAAGCGTCGCAGAAGGTGCAGACCGACAGTGGCGCGGAGGCGGCGCACAAGACGAAGAAGAAGAAAAAGAAGGACAAGGAGAAGGAGAAAGAGGTCAGCGCCGTGGTGACCGTGGCCGGCGGAGGTTGGCGGCGCTGGATAGGCCAACCCCCCTACTGTCGCTCGCGTTACGCTGGTTCTTGTTCTTGTGCGGACACAGTCCCGGGAACACGGGGAGGGGCGTGGGTACCGTGGCACTATGGTGACGCGTGCAGATTGAACCTAAAAATTGGATTTGGACATTTTTGAAACGTTTCTTCACCTGTCGACATCGGGCTAACTTAACCTAACAATGCCAAGCTCTGCGTTTCAGATTTTTTCTTCCTTTGTCCGCCCCATGCATACTTCCTGATAGGTTTCCACTTGCAAAATGGACTTGACATTCTTCAGCCACGCAAGTTTGCCGCACTTCGTTGACGTAGCCCCTTCGCTCCAGAACGGGGAGAAGAAAAAGAAAAAGAAGCACAAGGAGCGGGAGGCGGACCGGAGCGCGGCGCAGCGCGAGCGGGACGCGCTCGAGGACTTTCTGGAGCGGGACTCCGGCCCGGCCGTGGACGAGGCTTACGAGGCCATATAGACGCCAACCGTCCGCTCGCGGCGCCACGCCACCAGCTTCACCCGCCGCCCGCACATCTGCCGCCGGATTATTTTTATACAAACAGGACAACGCGACACAGGGTGCTTGGTGGGGGCTTCGCTGGTACGCACGGGCTGGGTGTACCGATGCCGGAGTTGTTGCGTGTGGTGATGAACTGTATACCCGTTGCGTATTTATTCGATTTATATGTGTGATGCAAGGTTATGCGTGTGGGCGACAGTGTTTAAATATCGTTACTGTGATGCTCGGGACCGGGTGTGTAATAAACGCGTCGGGGCTGCTCACGGCGTCAGGGGCTGATACGTCAACCGGATATATGTCCTGAGACAAGACAGTCTGTTAATCAACGTCATGTGCGTTCCGCAACAGTGCTGCTGGCCTTTCACACCTTTCACACTCAGACACACTTTCAGCCTCACGCCCATCAATCAACACATATTCAGTCGTCCAACAACGGCCAAGGCCTTCATTTACCCTTACCGTTGACACGTCCTGAACCATCAATAATTTTCGCGCTGCGTACCATCGCTCAGAAGCCGCGCTACGGATCGCACAGAACCGCTAGAATGTCGCTATCATGCCCTTCCACGCGGCTGCGGGTCCCCGGCACCCATATCTACGTCCGACTCGTCGCTGCCCTCCTCGGCGCGCGCTCTCTCCTCCTCCTCCTCCGCTCTGTCCTCGGCCAGCGGCGTCCAGTCCGCGTGGCAGCGCGCCACCGCCGCCGCCACGCGCTCGTCAAGCCCAAGCAGGGCGCGCACCTCATCGGTCTGTGCCGGTGACACCACGCCGCCAGCGTCGCTCATCTCGCCGCCCTGAGCGCGGCGGCGGCGCGCGCGCTCCAGCAGCCGGCAGCTCCAAAGCAGGTCCTCGCGCCACAGCTCCGTATCCGGCTGCAGCCGCATGGCCACAGAGAAGGCGCGACGCGCCAGGCCCAGCTCACCGAGTCCGAGCAGTGCGCGGCCGAGCGTCTGCTGCGCCGGCCACCAGCGCGGCCGCAGGCGCACCGCGCACGCCGCCGCCTCCAGCGCTGGCTGTAGCTCGTGCTGGCGCAGCAACGCCTGCGCGCGCATCTCGTGCAGCTCCGCGTCGGCCGGCGCCAGCGCCAGCGCTTCGTCCCAGAGGCGCAGCGCCTCCCAGAAGCGGTCCAGCTCGGCCAGCGCGACGCCCTGTTCGCGCAGCGCCGCCGCCTGCTCGCCCGCGCTCAGCGCCGGCCGGCCGCCCGAGAACAGCGGGGCGGAGCGGCGCGGCGGCGACGGCGACCTGTCCGAGTCGGAGTCCGGCACCGAGAACGGCGCGAGGCGAGGTCGTTTGGCCACGCTCTGAGCCGACCGCTTCTTCCAGGTGAAGCCAGACATGTCTGTCACGGCGGACGGCGGAGGTGGCGCTGAGTCGGTGCTGGGTGTCACTGCAAGTACACAAGCCACCTGGAGGATTTCTGGGAGTTCAGGGGGTGGTCTGATATTCACCAGTGCCATATATATCACTGCAAGTGGGATTTGGTGAACATGGGATCTATAGCACTTTTATAAATTGCAAGACAACTTAGGAAATAATATAATAATGTACAATAAATATACATGGGGTTCTAGTTTGTATTCTAGCTTAAATCCGAGAAAAAATACCTCATAATTTTCAAGGCATTGGTACGACAAATTGTGGGCAATGCCTTTGACATCCATTACACATGATAGAAGAAGATATAACATGAGTGTGGGATAAGTCCCTAATATAGGCTTTTAGGATTAGCAGTGAGTTATTAGTCAATGGTACAGAAGATAAAGCATGCTTTGATTTATGCACATAAAGTGTTACAACTGCGCATAATGCTTAAGCCGTAAACACCACTGGGGTAGGTGAGGTCTACAGCCCAGCAGCTTTTGGGCATACTGGGTTATACCTGTTCCTATGGTATGAGATGACACCAAAACAGAAATAGATGCACCCAAGACATTCTGGACAAAAATCCAACTATTCTACCTGATTCTTACAGGAAATTCATGCACCAAACCTAGGCCTGACATATCATGCTGACAGATTCAACTATTTGCAGGTAAAAAATACTTAAGGTGATTTTGTCCAATTTACCATAAATCACTTCCATTCCAAGATCATCCTTAGAACGTCAGACCTTCATGTTCCAAAATGTGTGGAGAATGTGCATCAAATTCTGAGCACTCATATATGACACACATGCTGAAATTGTTGCTGCAATGTTGGTGCTGCATCAGATATCTCTTGTATAACTACATCTTTGTAGTCAGGTACCCCAGATCATTTCAGGCATGGTAACACCTATGAATCAACCCATACTTTTACATGTATTTTGCTTCACTGTGCCTACTTAGCTCACTGGAATGAAGCAAGGCTGTTGGTAAAACTTAATGGCTTTATCTGGCCCTAGTTCTCATTTTCCGTATTCAGTTCATTTAAATCCAAGAATGCACAGATTTCTGTGCAAATCAAGCACCACGGGGGATATTTTCTATTCATGGTCCTAGTAGGCAAAAGCCTCCACATTTACCGCCCTCTTTCTTAGGCAAAGCTCACCACAGCTAATCGTCGCTTATGAAACAAATCCTCGTGCAGGTTCTGACTAGCGCCACAAAATTGTCATGGCCGATCTAAGAGATTTTCACTGTCGTCCCACCGCAATCCCCCGTTGGAGTCCAGTGAAATATTGCGCGCAATTCTGTATGAAGCTAGTTCTAATGTGTGTTATGTTGACTCGAGTCCCCAGTGTTATGAAGTAGCATCATCGAATCAATAGCGCCGCTTTGGCTTCCGGTAGAGCCTACCAAATCTCTTAGCGCTGCCAGTTTACCTATCACCTCAAGAAATGCCCACGGCTTCGCCCTACTTGCATCATCAACGCATTTAACACATGTCGGCAACGTATAATGTAAACTTGCATGTAAAGCATTTATACACAAGTTCAGCACATCAGGAGTGAAGTCGACGAGTGACAAGCATCCTCTTCGCTTAGGAAGGTGGGGAGACCGGCTAAGCTGGCAAGGGCCACTTAAGTCAGTTACGAGCAGCTTTGGGGGAACAAATGTTACTGGTGTAAAACATTCCACACCCGCGGTGCGAGGTTCACCCCGCTCAGCAGTCGACGTTTTGTGCGCAAGCGGGACGGAGTGCGGGTGCCTACTCTCTTGCATATCACGCGCTCGGTCGCAGCCGTCGCGCCCAACATCACTTGTCAGTTGGTTTGGAGACCTGTCGCCAGGTAGCGGTCGGAAGACGCAGAGCTCGGCCGCCAGGTGGCAGGGAACGCCGCATCAGGCGTCCCAAGCGCCGCAGCCAGTTGCGCGTATATGCGGGAGGTGCGTCTCATCCCAGGGCAAGCACAATGTCGGTCGTGAGGAATGAGCTTTCGGGACACTTTGCGCAGTGGCCTCTCGTGAAATTGCTTCCAGAAATGAAGTAGAGATGGTTAGACTCTGCAGATTTTCAGTGTGGGCTCTGTAGAGATGATTTAAGCTGCTACACATCGTCTTTCATATCAAATTGCTGTGTAAAGCTGGTTGACCACTTCAGCTGCATGATGATTTGAAACCAAGCTGGTGTGTTCGGCCTTTGCCAATATAGAGTACTCAGGAAACTAGCATGGCATAACTCAATTATACAGATTGGTCTCATTAGGTTTAACGTCTGTAGGCGTGCTATACACACAAGCATGTAGTCTTGCCTCCCTGATACGCTGTGCCGGAGTCACCTGCAGTGAACGTCAAACTGCAACGGGTCCACGCACCCTATCCGTGTGGCGGTGGGTGCGAGTGAGAATGTCACTGAACCACGATTCATTGGCGGAGCCCGTTGGTGTATCTTGGAATTTTACGGTGACAGCTGGAGTGGCATGCCGGCCAAAGAAGTGATATGTTCACACAGACATTTCCTTAGCAGCCTTGTAACATCGAGGACGTTCTTCGCCAATGGTCCTGTGCAACTCTCATTGCCGCTGTATTTCGTGCCTAGTACAACGCAACACATAGCTGTTGCGCGTCATGACGGTCATCCACTATGGTCCCACGCGCATCGGCTCCCCCAATCTGCGTCGTGCTCGGACTGCTAGGTCGCTGCTCATCACTGGCTACGGCAGGCGCACGAGCACGCGGCAGGGTCCGCCAATGCCGCCGCCAATCTTCATCGGCAAGGTCAGGATCCTGCCGCAGAAAATGATACTTAAGGGTTTACCACGCATTTGGGGATAATCGAACAAAAGGTAACAAAAGCCAAGAAGCAAAAAAGAAGAAAGCATGATGCCAAAAAGGTAGCTGGCAAGAAGTGAAAAGGAATAAGAGTGAAATGATAAAGGTCAAACAGCAATAAGTCAAAATGACCAACTTTCAAACGGAAAAGCCAGAAGGGATTAAAGACATCTGAACAGTAAAAAGGCATCTAAAAAAAGACACCTCAACGTTCGAAAAGTTCAACTCAACAATAAAGAAGTGACATAAACAAAAACTTGAAATACACAACACATGAAAATAAATGCAGGTCAAATGCCTTAACGCGACAAGGCAGTAAGCTGAAAAAAATCAGTCAGACGGATACAATAAAAATCACAGAATAAGAGAAACACCTAAGAGCAAAATGGCAAATTATGCGCATATTACACTTTTTAGTATGCTAGAAAAAAATGCAGCCACTTGCAGCTTTGGCTTCAATAAATAGCTGCGTTGATACGAAACTGATCCAAAGTGACAGACTTCCACCTTCTATTGCTGTTGCTACACACATGCCGTTTAAAAACACAAGCACAAATATATATATATATATATATATATATATATATATATATATATATATATATAAAGTACAACCAGAAGAACAGGGGAGGTAATCCGAGAAAATTGTCGTTCCTGTCCTTATGGCGACTTGCACGACTCTGCCCCCTCCCCCTCAACCGTTTTGAGAAATCGACACCAAGGACCATGATGTTTATGGTCAAAAAGGCGTAGAGCATATAAGTAAAAAGACATCATGTGGCAAAAAAATCGTCTAGCGCTGAGACATCTACCATCACGCGGAGGGTACTTCCAACCTAGATCCAGGATACCTCTGCGTCTCCGGCGCAGTTATGAAGTCAATGCCAATTGGCTGGGACCCTACTGGCTAAGCGGAGGCGGCGGGGGGGGGGGGGAGTGCTCGGCCCTAGCCCCGCCCTTCTGGAAGAGCAAGCGATCTAGGACCCTCAGTGCGTTCGTAAGCCCTACAAATGTCACGATTTCTGGGCGGGAAAATTGTGGTTTGACAATAGCCTATTGCACCTTTTCCGCATTTTCTATTTTTCTGACTTTGTAATATGCAACCTGAGTTCCTTTGACTCTTTGACCTTGCGTTTTTAGCTGTATCACTTTTAACTTCTTTTTGCCTGTTTAATTTTTTGCATTTGACTATTGTTCTTTTGGGGTGTTGCCATTTCACCTTTTTGTCGTTTCCATTTCTTTAACATTTTACGGCTGGCTTTTGTTCAGTGTGGCTTTTTACCATTTGACCTCATTGTCCTGGAACCGCATTTGCGGGGGGGGGGGGGGCGGCGGGATTAAGCGCCCTCCTCCACCTCAACGTTCCGGCATTTACCACGGGCGTTGCGTGGAAGAGACCTACCAAAAACGGTGAGCTGTCTTGATAAGAGATGAACAACGCAACTGCTCACCCGGGCAACAACCGGTGAGGACGGCTGAGCAAAAACCTTAATCCGCATATTCCGAAGAAGAAATGAGTTGACTGTGATGCAGCTATGTATACTTAAACGCCTTGCTAATTTTGTCTATATAATATGACTGACAGCTGAAAGCCCGTACAAAAAAAAAACAGATTTGGCCCTGATCGAAAGCTGTAAATACCAAGCGCTTAGCCCCAGCATACTGCGGCAAGGCAGCGGCTGCAGACCGCGGGCAGCGTCTCCGTGCTCACGTGGCGCCGGTGGCCGGCACCCGGCTCATGTCTCCCACGTGCTCCACGCCGAAGATGTTGCTCCGGAACAGCGCCTGGTGGGCGGGGACCACCTTGTTGTTGCCCGGGTCCAGTGAGGGCGTGTCGATGCCGACGCCGACGATGGCGCCATCGGCGGCGATCATCTCAGCCGCCGCCGCGCCTATACCTGTCCGGCGCCAGCAGTGACGTCACGCGCGCACTACCAATGACGTCATGTGCGCACTGGCACTTATGGTAGGCGTGGGTTGTC